ACTGGGAAAGAGAAAAGTGTGCTAGACCATATTCTTAAATTACTCTTCCACCAAATTTTGCAAAACTTCAATTTTAGGCGTAATTTGAATCAGAGAATTAAAATATGCCTAAAAATTAAGTTTTGTAAAAATTCGTAATTCTGGTGATGTAAATTGAACTAAAACTCAAGCAGCCAATAATAATTTTACAATGGAACCTATGATTTATAATTAAACATATAATCTATAACTAAATTTAGAACTATAAGACAATAATATATGGAAGAATAATACTAAATAATAAATTACAATCATAAAAGTCCTCAATTTTTCTCAAAATGTCCATTGAAAAGTAAAATTTTGTTGTAAAGTCCTTTTCATCGAATGAAGATACTGATTGAAGTCTCTTGATGCCAATAAGTCCACAAGATAAAGATAAGCTCACAAATATTATGCACTTCTTTTAATGACAAAACATTATGATATAATACCTTAAGAAAACAATTCAATGTATATCTCTAATAATATGATGTATATTTCATAAGACAATAAAACCTTGAATAAAATCTTTAGCATGCTCTCTCCAACAGATCAGTGTGACTAGATTGCTGATGGTTGGGTTGTGCTAGGTACAAAATATAAAAAAAAAAAAATCCATTGCCTAAAAAAAGGTAACTAGTTTTTGGCACTGTACATTATGTCAAAGTGTTTTTGTAAAAATACAAAATTCTACAAAATTAAAATTTAACACAAATAACTTGTATGATCAAGTTAATGTCTTTGCTAGCATTTTGGAAACTAGAAATGAATACTGCCCTACAACAACAAGAAAGAAAAAATTTTTTTCAAAATAATGTAGGAGTATTACCTAGGGGGTCATCGGGCATGTGCTATCACTTCTTACTTCCTCTCTAAAGAGAGGACGCAAGAAGTAATACACATAGTGTGATATTTTGTGTTTAAAACAGTATAGCAGACATTTATTTTTATTCAGAATCTGCTATGAGGGGCAGATTTTCAATGCAATGCACAAAGTGGATTAGTGTAATGCAAAAAGTGGGTTATGTAAGAAAAATATAGAATATGTAAAAGATTAAATATGTAAGAAAAATAAAGAATATGTAAAAGATTAAATTAGCAGCTTAAATTAATTTCCCTTCTCTATTTTAAAAACAGCAACATCTATTTGCACTGTGTCACTTCAAGAAAAATCTATGTCATATGACTCTTACGTAATTCTGGTGATGTAAATTGAACTAAAACTCAAGCAGCCAATAATAATTTTACAGAAATATTAACTATCCAATAAAAATGCTTTGAGAAACAAAACTAACTCAGTTTGACCTGAGATTTCATCCTGAACATTACATACTTGCTTTCCACGCTTTGGCCTAGCTAGGCTGCTGTCTGTCTGCTGCTGCTTGATTGCTAAGTTCTCAAAAATGTAAGCCTTTTGGAACAGGCACATTTAATGTGCCGACTATTGTGTAACCGCAACATGTTGCTGAAAATAAAACTGAAGATTGGCAGATTAATCTGCCTTTGTCTCCAATTTCCTAGTCATTATGGATCAACACTTCTATGCCATCAAATTCCTGCTCCTGAATATATTACATATATACACACTTTGTCTACAAAAGTCTTTATTTTCACAACTAATACTTCCAGATACAAAAAATGTTTAAATGACCCCAAACTTCTTGTTTTCACATTTTAAAACTTTAAAAAATCAGTTTTGTAAAAATATCAAAATATAACTCTTTATACGTTTTTCAGGTCCCTGCACTTATATTTAGAAAGAAGGCATACTCTTTATAAAAAATAAAACACAAAAAGTTTGACTCAATAAAATTCTCTGAGTTATTTAATTTTAAAATTTGCCATTGCTGACATCCTTTTAAATTTGCCTTAAAGGGTGGTTAATAAATAAATTAGATGTCAAAGTTGATTTCCAGATTATATGCAATTCAATGATCTTCTTTTGGGATTTGGTAGTGTATTTATTTTATAACTTTATTATATCTGGTATTCTGACAGAATTTTCACATGAGTAATTTATAAGTCTAAAATTATGTTATTAACACTCTCATGAAGTTTTATTGCTTTAGAATCATAATTTGGTAATCATTTAAAAAATGCATTAAACTTCAAATATTTTCCCTGCTTAATTAATGCAAATAATATTACAAGTTGGTTACATGCTAATACTAATGTTAATATTATGTTTCCTAAAACCCAAAGACATGAATTCTGTAAGATTCTGGAAAGATCTGTATTTTGAAATAAATTACACTGACATACTTCCAAACCTATGACACTCAAAAATCAGGAGATTTTTTCACAATGCTAAAAAGACTTTCTAAATGATAAAAATATGGTTTTTAATAATGAATTAACTTTAAATAGTAACTAATTCTTAAATGCAAGCAACACAAAAATACCTTACACATAAAAAAACATTTTTATTACTTGCATCGTTTACGGAAAAAAAAAAAAAAAAAAAAAAAAGGAGGGAATTTTAGTTTAGAAAATTAGGAAGTTTCTTTAAGAAAGAAATATTATGCTTGTTAAAATATTATGCTATAAATTTAGTCCTCGTTTACGCAACAACATTGAAAATCCTCTCACACTCTGCACTACTATGGGGAACTGTCAAGATGGCCAACACAATTCTAGACAGTTGGCTATATTTTAAAATTCCATCAGCACCTTTCAGTTTTCCAATTAAACTCCACTGGGTGTCAATCCTAGCTGATTTTATAACTTCATTCAAGTTTTCTAATTGTAAACTGCTGTTATGCAGCTGTTGGAAATGTTTCAATTTTTTTTCCTTCCTTTTTAGAACTCCTTTCAAGATAATAATAAATATCAACAATGTGTTCATCCACATTTATTGGTAAAGAAAGCTTGCCCTTTTTCAGCTGCTAAATTTAAGAGGTGACAGGTGCACCTCATAATCTTGCAAATCTGAATTTTCCTTTCTTAAGATGCCTGCAACACCAGTCTTCAAACCTACCAATACTTGGTGCATTATCAGCACCAAGTGCTAAGCAATTATCCAGAGGGCCTTGCATTTTCTTTTAAAGTTTTAATAATTAGCTGTGGTATATTAAAGCCTGTCAAATGTCCTTCTAAATTGGGGAACAGAAAGTAAACTGCACTCAATTTCTGAAGAATACTGGATTAAAAAAAAGAAACAACAATTGGATACAGTTTTGAATCGGTATTATTGCTTCTATCCGTAAAGAGGCAGAATGGAGCTGTCTTAATGCAATCAATAACTGAAGATTTATTTTTCAAACTCCCAAGTCTTTAACAACTGCACCTGTTTTGGTTCCTTGCACTTGTATTATTTCTTAGCAATTTTCACTATCGAGAAACATTTTTCTAAATAAAGCTGCAGCATGATCCGATGCATTCAGTGGCAGGTTGTGCTCCAGTAAAAAGGCAGAGAACAGACATTCTGCATTAATAACTTTTCGGTCCTTTGTTTCCAAAGAAAAATTAAATTTTTCGTTTTTTTAAAAAACAATTCATGTTATCCTTGTTTTTTTGTGTTCGCACATGTTTGAGAACATCCACCCTTCCACATTGCGAATTCGAAAAATCGCAACAACAGGCGGTGCACATCGCAAATTTATTACATTTCCTTGAGGAAATAATGGAAGGAAAGTCAACTGTGTACGAATTTTGAAACGTACACGAGTATTTCATTCTCGCAGACATAACAAAAGATGATAATTTCTAAAATTATTTCCCGAAGGCACGTGCACTCACACAACTCAGCACAAATTGAACGAAATAACTAAATAACATCCAAATAACAGCTTGCCTTGTCCTCATTGGCTAATATATGCCAGCTGACACGCAGTGGAGTTCGATGCCCATTGGAGAACTGGAGAACGACGTTTCTGGGATACGTATAATGCTCTCACTCACAAAGCATAAGTTATCTGATTCGTAAGGTTTTGTTTTAGATATAATCTAGAGAAAATTCAATTGCTTTCAGATGTCCAAAATCACTTTTGTTCATATGACAAAGTATTAAGCCAAGTTCCATAAAAATCGTGAGAAATTTTAAGAATAAGAAAAAGTCGGGAGAAATATATTGTAAATCGGGTTGGCGGGAGATCGGTCGAAAATTGGGAGTCTCCCGCCTAAATCGGGAGAGTTGGCAACTCTGCACTGATAACACTCTTCACAATAATCTGCACACAAATGTTCATCACTTAACCTCTTAACAATATGTATGGCCATAAAAATGGTCAAGGATATTGGTCCAGAGTGGTCAATGTATAATTTAATAAAATTTTTGTATATTATAACAGAGATGGTCATACAGCTTGCAAGCCATGTATGGCTCTTGCAGGCAAGTGCTGTGGCTCTTATGCAAATAAAATATATGTATATATATGGTAAAACTACTTGATGTCCAAAAGAAAGCAATTAATTTATTTAATTTCTTTTTAAAAAATAATTAGTAATCTTAACCTGATCAATGTCAAAACATAATTATTTTATCTTACTTCTTGTTAGTTAGAACTGCAGAAGAATCAGAGTATTTAAAAACTGAAAAAGACTTTTTTTTACAGCATTGAGCTATAATTACAGAAAACAAAGACCCAACAGGATTTCATGTTATCTTTGACATATCACCACATATTGAAAGCAAACTAACACTGAATGATTGTTTAGAATCAGACATTTATTTTAATTTGACAACTATTTTAGTACTTTTAGAATGACGTAAATATCGAGTGGCTTTTCGAAAATCTAGTTGCGGATCTCAAACTTAAATTTGAACATGCAGCTCTTACTGTCAAGATTTTGGCCACCTCTACATTATAAGGTTATACTTAAAAAAAAAAAAAAAAAAAAAAAAAATTTCAATATCACAATTTTACCACATATATATTTGAAAAATTATGTAGGATCCTAATCAGAATGAATATCAATAATGCTAAGATAACGAAAATACTTTTAGGTTTCCTACATGCAGTGGGCAGAAGAAAGAATCATACCCTTTTGCTGTGTCAAGACTAGCTTCGAGAACAACACCTTCAACTAGGCCTTTAAGGATCCCCTCCAATTTCCATCATTTCTGCTTGAGTCAAAATAGCTTCAGTAAGAAGTTCCAAATTCATTTTCTATAAGAGTAATTTGATGACATTTGGAAAAATAGCAATAATTACTGGAATTAAATTTTTACAACATAAAAATAATATTGACACTTCAAATTCCAGTTTTTGCACTTAAAGGATAAAATATAATAGCATTTTCCAAACATGTTAGTCTATTAATAAGATGATACACATACACAGGCTTCATTGCCTTAAATACTGATCCTATACATGTACTTCAGTTTCTCAAAATATGGTACAGAATTTTATAGACACATTCTTAGCACTAAAGATGGAATACTTAACTAAAGGCAGTGGTTTTTAAGTACAAAATCTAACTATTCACATTATTTCCATAGAATAAAAAGTCCAACTAATAAATCCTTATTCATGCTTCAATAAACCAAATGCAAAAAGTTTCATACCTTTAGATACACAGTTCACAAAGATCACGATGGAGGGGGCAGATATATTACCCACAACAGAACCATTAATTGAAAAAAAAAAAAAAAAAAAAAATCGATTCGAAGTTTCATCCTAAGTTTTATGTAAACTGATATGTAATAAGCACTGAAAAGTTATCTAAGTGAGCAATTCATTCTCAATACCTCTGACTGATTTGAAGTTTCACCCTAAGTTTTATGTAAACAGATATGTAATAAGCACTGAAAAGTGATCTAAGTCAGTAAGTCATTCTTAATACCTCTGAATTTTAAATATAAAAATATGGAACTTTGAATTTAATTTATTAAAGCCTCATAAATATTTTACTAATTTGGGTGCTCTGACCTATGAGCATCATAAAAAGTTAGACTTTTATGTTTTCCTAACTATCTCATCCATAATGCTGAAACTGCATAAATTTCTTTACCTTATCTCAACGAATTTTGGAAGAGCATATCCATGATCAATATTTAAAATTATAAAGTCTTCACAGTTCTTACGACTAGATAAGCACTGTAAGAATAAAAATTTTATCAAAGCAACTTAACTGGAATGCAAAAACAGCAGGAAATCATATACAGAATTGTTTCTATTCCTTAAATAATCTTAATACAAAATTTTGCTTTCCAATAAAACTGTACCTATACCTTTTAAATAAAATAGAGGAGAAAAAGCACACACATAAACTACATGCTATAAAAGAACTTCAAACTTCATTATAATCATTAGGTTCTATTTTTAATGCAAATCATACAGCAGAGGTTAGGAGAAAATTTAGAGAAATTCTGCAGCCAAGCTATATCATTAGGAACATCTTTGATCTATATTAATGATATAATTCCACAAAACATATTACCTAGAAGAGCAAATTGTTTTTAATAAATTACTTTTTAACTGATTAGCAAAATACATTTAAAATCATGAAACTAAAGGGAAAATCTTATGCCACATGAATTGGCAATTTATCATTTTTCCAAAGATGGATTTTTTCATTTAAAAAAACAAAAACAACTTTTTCAAGTGCTAAAAAGTAATAACATTTACAGTACCATCAGCAACTTTATTTCAGAAGAGATTTTCCTTTAGTCTGTGTTTAAAGTAAATTTACTTTTAGTTTGTAAAGCACTTAAAAATGATTGATGCTCTTTAAAAAATGTATTGTTATTAATACAGTTCTTAAACTTACTTCATGCTATATTACCGTAATTTCGCACGTATAGTCCGCACCATCGTATAGCCCACAGACACGATTTTATATAAAAAAATTTTTAAAAATTGTCAGATAGTCCGCGGACTATACGTCCGAAATTACGCTTTTTTAATACGGCAATATTCCCATGCCTTTTAAACACATCCTTTTGTTTGCGGCAATTTCTCACCGCTTTCTTGTCCACTTCAAAATAACGGGGTAAAATCCTAGTACACGGTGCAGCCTTGGCGCGACTTTGAAAATTATCACAAACATCAAAAATGATCCAAAGAACGTCTATATATATACTACACACGCATAGTATATATACTATACACATAGCATATACTATGTTTAACTATATATTTTCTTTGAATGACCCGTTAGCTACTCATCGTATATGTCCCGTTTTCACTGCTCATCATAAAGTCGCCAAAAGTAGTCAAATCCCGTGTGCACCGGATACTAGGATTAAACCAATAACGGCCCGCTTCTCTATTTCCATCTTTTTCAGCTTTCTCAACTGACTCTCAGCAGTAAAACTCCGGCGATGTTTCATCAACGTTATCGAAGATGAAAGACAAAATACGAAAACAAACTACTGTGGAACGTGCTATCCTCGTGATAAGTGGTAATGAAATGCGACCTTCGACCCCACTCACTCGGTGTTGCCAAACCATGCTATAAGTAAACGAATCATGCTTTTTTTTCGTACTCCAGGTACTTGCTACTATAGCTAGTAAAAACCGAGCTGACACATCAACTACTTTTCTCCCTCCCGGCAGTTGCGCTAAAGCAGTGCGAAGGATACTGGGATACAAGACTCTAGTTGCGCTAAGTGAGTGCTCATACAAGACTTTCTTTGGCTCATATCCAGGCATCGCTTGATTTGTCAGCCTGGATTTTAGGAGCTCTACTTGCTACTACTCATTCATTCTGCACTATGGTTTATGGTTTACTATCGATACGATACATACGAATGTTTTCTTGGAATCTCGCGCTTTCTTTATATTTGATCATCGGCAGTTCACGACAGCGTGTTTTTAAATTTCAACAATTTTAACTGTGACCAACCAGCGTATTATCCGCACTGGTGGATAGTCTGCAGCTTCAAAAATTTGCATTTTAAAACACAGATAGTCCGCGGACTATACGCGCGAAATTGCAGTAATTACTTTTCAATGCCAAAAATTAAAATGAAAGAGAACAGGGAGAGAAAAAAAACTCGTACAAGAACTTAATTATACAGGTTTGGCATATGTTGGCACTATATGGAAAAAAAAAAAAAAAAAAAGAGAGAGAGAGAGAGAAATACGAAGTGAATTTTTTCCAAATACACTGACTGCAAATAAGTATTTGGACACCCATGCAAATGACGATATCTGCGGTCCTAAGGTACATCACGGACTCCGACGGTATATATCGTTTAGGAAACAGCATCGGCTTTAGTCGCATGCAAGATGCCTCGCAGATCGGAGCTCTCTGATTTCGAGAAAGGTATAATTATCGGGTATCACAAATGTGGCCGATCCTTAAGGGACATATCTAGCAATCTGAAGTACCCAAAATCGATAGTGGCCTATGTGATTAAGAAGTGGAAGGTGAGCGGTGATTGTTGGAATGTGCCCCGAGTCGGCAGACCAACGAAACTGGGAGATAGAGACCGACGAGTGCTGTCCAGAGAAATTCGGAAGAACTGCATCCAACCGATGGCCCTCATCCGCGAGGAGTTTCAACAGGCATCCGAGAGTATTGTTTCAATGAATACCATACGTAAGGAAGCACATCTGCTTGGTTTTCCTGGTCGTGCTGCTGCCCATAAGCCTTTGATCACTAAGTCCAACCGCACTGCTCGGTTAATGTGGTGCAAAGTACAACGAAATTGGACCGTAGATCAGTGGAAACGGGTTCTATGGAGTGACGAATCAAGGTTCACTCTTTACCGTTCGGATGGCAGGATCTGGGTCTGGCATCTACCTGGAGAACGTCTCCTGCCAGAATGCATTGTGCCATATGCATGTGTTATATAATCCAGATTCTGTAGATAGAAAATTCATTAAATAGTTTACTTTGTACATATTTGCAAGTAAGTAGTGTTGATTTTATTTATCTGATTAAGTGTTTCGTACTTTTTCATATGTGATTTAAAAATTAATTTTTAATGCATTAATTTTAGAGTTTTAAAAAGAATTAATTACTTCATTATAACACGTAAAGTGTATTAATGCTTATATAATAACAATAGTAGATTATATTAAAATGCATAAAATAGAGTGTGGTCTGAGAGGCCCCTCCTCTATGTTTACGTAACAGAAAATGAACACCTGTACTAAAGGGTTAAACATTGTTTTCGTAGCACTTATATTCAACACCAAAATCAGAAAAATTTTAAAAGCAGCATATCTTTATAATTCTGGATGCAGTGTTAAGTATAACATACATTTCTTCTGTTTTTTCAGTTTATGATATCAATGTTCAGTTTTCTTAATAATATGGCTTACAAAACTTTTTATTTATTTATTATAAATATTTTGTATATTAACTTTATTATTAAACATCACATTCAATGCCACATAAAATTCAATTCAACAGCAAAACCACAAAATATTTAATCTACTTCTAAATGGTTAAGTTTGTTAAAAACAATCATTAAAGTTTTAGAAACCACAAAATAAATAATAAAGCAAATTCAAAATTTGGGCTTCCAGGTGCACATGTTCAGGTGGAGGACTACATTATTCAAAATTTGATGGCTCTAGGTACTGTCATTTTTCACAATGCGAGAAACATGTACATTCATGCAGATTCTTCCCATATTTAATTTTATTAATTATTATACAAGGTGATAATATTTGGTGGCAACAATATGAAAAAAGATATAGCGTGCAGATGCAAAATTCCATTTTGAGACTAACAGCCACTTTTGGGGTAAAAATTTCTTAAAAAATTGCAGAAAATGATACATAAAACAAAATGGTTACTTTAAGTGCAAATTTTCCACCATCATTTCAATGCATCATTGTTCTTGTTAATATTGTTCATCATCATTGTTCTTTTTAATTAATAATCAAGTTCTTGCTAATAATATGCAGAAAAGTTTATGATGAACTTAAATTTGTTGAGAAAGTTAAACTGTACTATAAATATATATTTAATTAATAGATATTCTGCACTTAATGATGCAAAACAGAAGAATACATTTTAGTTTTAGGAAATGTACTTAAAATGTTTGGCAATTTTAGCTATTATTTAAACTTAAAAGTCTGTACTTTTAGAATGTTACACTTTATGACTGAGAATATTTATTCAACTGAGAAGTGATAATATATTATATGATCAATAAAATGCTAAACATGAATTTCCACGAACAGTTTTCAAAAATTTTTGAGTTGCAGTTTTCTCAAAATATAACTTGACATTTCCAGCATTAAAATACCTTTAAAGCAGATATAGGAATTGCTTGAACATCACCACCAAGGTCTTCAACTTGTAAACCACAGCTTAAAAGACCTTTCTTCACTTTATCCTAAGGATGAAAATAACAGAAAAAAATTTACTCCATACCTTACTAAATAATTTGACAGAACAGCTATTTACAGTGATGAAATAGTTTTAAATACATGTTACACAAAATTAATTAAAAAAATTAAAAAATTTTTGTTTCTGCCTTTTTAATAAATACGTGTTAAAATCTTAAAAACTGCAAATAGGTGATTTTGCAACAGACCATGTAGATAATGAAAGTCACTTTTACATATGAAATTAAATACAGCTTGAAACTTCAATTTCTTAAAATTACATTTTTAAGAAAGAAAAAATTATTTACAAGTAAATACTATTAAACATCAAACAAAATGTTGTTGGAATATTTACTTCAATAATTTAAAAATTCTTTTCAAATATGAAGAAATATTTCATATCCCATTTCTGGTTTAAATAAAAAAATGACAACTGAAAAACTTAATATAAAAATACCAGAAAATCAGTTCATAATAAAATAAGTACAAGGAAAGCCACATTTTCAAAACAGAAATATGAAGAAATACGAAGAAAATAAATTTTTAAGGAATGATAAAGTATTAAAGGTCAAGCAAATAACATAAAACAGGGTATCCCAGCTAGTCCAAGAAATGCTATTTAAAAGAGATTTTAATGCGTGTAGAATATTCTCTTTGATGAATTTTAGAATATTACTATAAATGAGAGACAAAAGTGGAAACAATACTAAAAGTTACTATACTTTAATTATAAACAAAACCTAGAGACAAAAAATTGAAAATGTCAAGTGTATAATTATAAATTAACAGACCAACTTATGTCACATTTTAAATTTTAATTACTTATTTGATATATAAGCATCTCTTACATAATCAATACATAAGATATTCAGGAATATCAACAAGTGCTCAGATGATCGACCTGCTTAATCATCTATATGTAATGATGTAGAAATATTGATTCTGTGATGCATAACAAACAGCAGACTTGGCAGCTCAGTCATTAAATATTCATTTTTATTTCAATTGACATTTGAAGCCACAAATAACTTGGCACTTAATCCTGCCGTTCCAAAACATTTGCATTTTTCATATTCATAGGAAGAAAGCACCATGGCAACAGCAGTAGGAGCAAATTGCATAGTTATTCAAAATGGATGCTTAGTTTAAGAGAAAGGTTTTGAATGCTGGAAATTTTGAGTTCTAAATTAGCTACTTCATTGTTATTATTTAAAAGTCATATAACATGGATTAATCTAGAAATGATGCAGTATAACCAATGGCTACATTTAGGACAAAAAGGGGAAATACCTAAATCAAAATGAAGAATTAAGGGCCTACTCCTAATTTAAGTTATAATTTTGATTTATATGTTTTTTTTTTTTTATCTCACATGCTTGCTCTAATGCTTGTTCTCTCAAAAAGGCTTCTCTATCACTAAGCTGTTTCGTCTTTGAAGGGGGATATGTAACACAAAAAGCATGTAAATCAAAATTATAATTTAAATCAGCAATAGCCCGTTAAATCCTTTTTTTTTTTTTTTTTTTTTTTTTTTTTTGGATTAGGGCATTTCTTCTTTGTGTTCTAAAAACAGCCATTGCTTATAATTACTTCTTTGGAATGCACCATTTCTGGATTAATCCATATCCTATGTCTTTTACACAATGATAATGATATAGGTTACTTCAGAATTTCCAGAAGACTAACCTTTCTCTTAGCCACTTCTCTTACACATTTTTTTTTTTTTTTTTTTTTTGAAGAAAAAAATTGCAAAAAATCATCACATTATTTTATTTTATTATTAAAGTATAAGGAAAAGAAAAAAAAAACAAAATATATAGGTTTTAAGTTGAATTTTTTATTTTTTTACAGGTGTAAAAGCATTTAGTTTTAATATTAGTTTACTATCCTGAGTTATCTCGGGCAAATAAAAAATTCAATATAAGTCGTTGTGTGAGCATTTTGGAAACAAGGGATAACACAAAGTGATACCTGACAGTCTATACACTGGTATCTGGTCTCTTTTCTTACTGGCTTACCTCTGAAATCTCTTTTACACGAGCACAGAGAACACTGTCTCATTGGATTTGATTTTTTTTCAGTAGCAGGAATAACATGTGGAAAATGCTTTGAGGTTATAATCACTATCTGAAAAATCAGCGCTTTCGCTATCTTGCATCATCGCCATTATATTACTTTTTCAACGCAACTATCATTTTTTATACATTACTAATCCACAAGCCGACATATACTAGACAATAGGGAAAACATGTGACCAGGCCTGCAAAAAAAAAAAAAAAAAAACTGCGAAACCAACAAAACTTTGCGAGCTGCCAATAAAAGCTGAATACTTCCTTTCATATCCTCCAGGTCGAGTAAGACCATGCTAAAACAAATCGTACTGACAAATTCTGCTTTGCCCGAGTTTTCTCGGGATAATAATTAACTGCAATATATATTAACGCGGGATAACTCGGGATAATCAGGCAAGCGGTTAAATTAAACTTCTGTACTGTATAACTACACAGTTTGTTTTTGCTTCTCAGCCAAAGTAGACTGCTGCTTACTGCTTTTCTTCCTACTGCAAAGCTATAAAAAATGCAAATGTTTTGAAATGGGCAGGAGTGGAGTGGCAAGTTATTTGTGGCCTCAAACGTTAATTGGAATAAAAATGAATATTTAATCTGCCTCAGCTGCTAAGTTGTTGTTTATTATGGATTAACATCTATGCAATCAATATTTCTACATCATTACGTATATTACATTACAACATGTGATAATAAATCATTTTTTAAGGAAAATTTATAATCCTTCCATAGGTCTTAGTGAAAAATTGGTTCTAAATTTCTTTATATATATATATAACTTGTACAGAAAAATAAGGAGAAAAACTTTAAAATTAATGAATTCCAAAATGTATATAAAAAGAACTTAAAAGTAAAATTTTGCGCTGATGCTGAAAATATAAATTTAATTTAATAGAGATTAACTGTCTATCATCGTATCGCAAAATTATTTCACATTTGTGAACTTGAATAAATTGTTGGTAGTTCTATGGAGAGGTTCTAATTCCCCTTGATAAGTCAGGATCTTTCTATGGAATCAGCAATGATTCTCATTTTAATTAATGAGAATCATGGAATCAGCAATGATTCTCATTAATTAAAATGAGAATCATTTCTGATTCCATACAAAAATCCTGACTTAGTTTGGCATTTTAATTAACAATGTCAGTTTAATTAGTAACACATTTCAATTTTTAATTTCCACAATAGAAACATATACTAACTAAATTTCACTTCATATTTTCTAGGAGATAATTTTTCATTTATATACATTATATATATATATAAATGAAATATACTATATATGGGTATAAAAATATTGCAGAAAATACAAAACTCAGTTCTACATATAGTTAAGGTTAAACAACATTTGAAAAAAAAAATTACCTGGGCTATAAATTTTATATATATCGGGTGGTTATAAAATAAGCATCTCTATTCGGAGCTGCCTGTAGCTTGAATGAATAATCTGAATGAAATCAAAATTGGTACACTTACTCATCGAGAATAATAAAAAAATAGTTGCAACAATTAGCAACAGATGGAACTTTTGAATGAATAATGCATAATCCAAGAACAAAGAATGAAAACATAGAACCGGATGGCATACCTAATTTGAAAAATGTTACAGATAATGTGATTATGCTTGCGCATGGCTATGCTGATCAAGTTTAGGTTCCACATGGCCATTAAGCTGGAGGACACAATCCAGGCATGCACGATGTACTCAACTGCAGAGTTTAATTAATCAGGAATGATGTTTCGCACATGTTGTGTTATGCAATCTTTAAGGTCATTGAGGTTTGTGACACCATGGTATACATTAGATTTTAAGTATCACAAAAGATAAAAATTCACATGACACCAAATCAAGGGATCAAGGAGGCCACTTCATGTGAAAATACCGGCTGATTACTCTATTATCTGTGAAATGTTATCATTAGAACTGTTTTACTGCTCGTCCAATATTGGGTGAGGTTCCATCTTGCACACACACACACAAAAAAAAAAAAAAAAAAAAAAAAAAAAAAAAAAAAAAAAAAAAAAAAAAAAAAAAAAAAAAAAAAAAAAAAAAAAAAAAAAAAAAAAAAAAAAAAAAAAAAAAAAAAAAAAAAAAAAAAAAAAAAAAAAAAATTTCAGTAAGACTATGTCTTTGCTGCAGTTGAGAAACTACGAATGTTTGTAACATGTGCACGTACCACTTGTACAATAACCGAACATGCTACGGGTCCTGATGACCGTAAATCCTCAAAAAAATTAGGACCAAGAATGAAACTTGCCATAAAGCCACACCCCACTGTGAGGTTTGAAGAGTGGAGGTATCTTTCTTGAATAACATTTGGAGGCCCCCAAAGCCCATATTCTAGTGTTTTGTGCACTGACCGTTCCATTCAAGTAAAAGTGGATTTCATTTCCCCATAAAATCTTCATGGGAAGGCATCATATACATCCATTTATGCTACAAACATTAGAACAAAATCCAATCTCTGCTGCCCATCACCTGGTAACAATTGCTGATAAAGACTAACTTTATACAGATAAAATTTAATTACCTTTCTTAGAATTTTTCAAATAGCAGCATATGGAATATCCAACTTTTGAGCAACTTACGCGTGCACTAGGACCAGTTTCTGGAGTCATGCTGATTCTGCAATTTCTATTTGTATGGGAAGATGTACTAGTTTTCTCCCCCATCCACATTTTACAGCAACTGATCCAGTCTCCTCGAATTTTTTTACCATTCTTCTCAGAGAACACTGTGCCAAAAGACATTTTCTTTTATGCATACCTTTCACCCACCTGAATTTGTGCAAAACAGCTGCAGTATTTGAGCTGATAATGTAGGAAGTTTTAAAATCAAAACACGATTTGCCAAACTAAGCAGCATCTCGTACCACATTACTGGCAGAAATGACCGCTTCTTAATTTTGCTCATGATTACAGCATTTGCAATGGCAGCACCATTTGTCGGCAATTAGTTGCACTAATTTTTTTATTATTATTATCATGCCATCCTTTTTTCCTCCTTCTTGAATAATAACTATACCGATTTTGGTTTCATTCGGATTATTCCTTCAAGCTACACACAGCTCCAAATAGAGATACTTATTTTATAACCACCCGGTATACAGACATATATATTTACACACACACAATAACTTCATCACAAGATATGAAATGCTAATACAGGGGGGACTTAAAATATCATTGCACATTAAAATGGTGTTAAATACTTACAACATCGGAATGTGGTTTATCAATCTTATTTATAGCTACAATTATGGGAACTGCAAAAGAGTGAAAAAAGGAATTAATCCATGAGAAAACTTTTTCAATTATTTCATTATTTTAAAACTTGAACAATATATTAAAAAAAATTCTACATAAGAAGGTGAAAACAGATAATCTTATGAAATTTTTTTTTTTTTTTCATGAACTTTTTCTGCTCAGAATACAGTGTTATACATAACACAAGTTCATACAGTGTTATACATAACACAAGAACTTTTTGATCATGTTCAGTTTTCAATACACTGCATGTTATTTTATAAGACTAAACATCCAGATGAATAAACACTGCATAAAACTTTTTAGATACATTTAACTAAAACTTTTCTTCCTCATTTTTTATAATTTTTTCCACTTCAGATTTTAACTGAAAATTACTAATCCTTAAAATCATCCATGTAAGTTCCATTAATATAAGCAAAGCATAAAATATATTTATATTATTGTTCTTTCATCTTCACCCTCACCTTCTCCTACATTCTAAACCAGGGATAGTCAGTTTGGTCCTTTTCACCCACTAGTGAGCAATTTAAGCTTTCACAGTGGGGATTAGAAGTTTTTTTTCGATGAAGATCAAGGATGATCAAAACACACTCACAGAAGCATATATGTATACATATGTACACACTTGAAAGTTTTATTCTCTAACTGACTGTTTGCCACCCACCCACACAGCACTCTCCTATTTCCATATATTTGCACAGTCAGTTTTCTTAGGTGCTGTTCTGTGACTACATAAAGGGTATAAGTGTGTTAAGAATACTCATAAGTGTACACTGCACAAAAAAAAGGGGGGGAACAGCACTATATCTCTTGTTCTACTGGGCTGATCGACGAAATTCAACTTGCATTTTTTATCTCTCGAAAGCGCGACTTAGGATATGTAGTAGATTTATATATAGCATTGTTCTAATACATGTATTTTGACATAAAATAGGACTTTTTCTGAAATAACATACCAATTTTTTCAATATTTCAATTCTACAACTCAAATTACACCAAACTACTAAGTTTTGTAAAAATTGCACGAGTAGTTTTTAAAAAATTAGCTCTCAAATTTTAGCTCCTCAATGTTAATTGAATTTGGTATATATTTATTAATATCTCTCTTTATATTAAACTTTTTTATTCTTCCCTTCACATTTTGAAATTTAGGTTCATACCAAATAAAATTCACCCATTTTTTATGATTATTTTTGAAATTTGTATTTTTAAATAATTTTCATAAATTTTTCAAAACAATTTTGAATTATAAAGTATAAAATTTTTACCATCATCTTAAAGAAGGTGTATTTCTAAGTATACCTGCAAAAAATTAGAGTTTTTTTATTCAAAATTTTCTAAGATATATACGAATTTATATATTGGCGCGTTTTGAAGTTTGGAATATTTGTTGAAAGCAATAAAGCATCAAACGTGGTTTAGACACTTCGCTAAAATTCTTTGAAAGTAGGAACGATTTGACTTTTTTTCTGCTCATGCACAATATAAAAAGGTAGAAACGAAGTGCCTTTTTTCCCCGCTCCAGCATAATGGAAGAGAAAGGAAAATTGGTTGCCATATATTAAGTTCACCAATTCTTGGCACAAACTGAAAAAATTGTGCCAAGATAAATCTTTGAATTTCTTTGTACATTTTGTACCAAATTTTACAGAATTTAATATCTGGGCATAATTTGAGTCAATCGAAATATGGAAAAAAAAAAAAAAAAAAAAAAAAAAAAAAAAAAAAAAAAAAAAAAAAAAAAAAAAAAAAAAGAAAAAAAAAAGAAAAAAAAAAAAAAAAAAAAAAAAAAAAAAAAAAAAAAAAAAAAAAAAAAAAAAAAAAAAAAAAAAAAAAAAAAATAAAAAAAAAAAAAAAAAAATGGTCTATGTTAGAAAAAAGTCCGATTTTGTGTCAAAAAAATACCTATGTTAGAACAATGCTATATATAAATATAATATATATCCTAAGTCGCGCTTTCGAGACATGAAAAACGCAATTTGAATTTTATCAATTGGCCCAGTAGAACAGTAGATATAGAAATGTCCCCCCCCTTTTTTTTTTTTTTTTTTTTTTTTTTTTTTTTGCAATGTGCATAATGGGGTTATTGAACACATGAGTTTAGGAGTAACTTTTCTGAGAAACAAAGCTTCTCCTCTGACCATTGGATGATTTCTAGCTTAAACATTTCCTCTGGAGCTGATGTTCTAGATAGTTATATGGGACTTTTTACATTACAGATAATGTTTTGCTTGAAGTTTAGTCCATTGTAATTTTTCCCCAAAAAACTATTTTCACATAATTCAACCAAACTGATATCCCAGAAGCTAATATTCAGGCAATTTTTTTTTTTTTTTTTTTTTTTTTTGATGGTCTGTTAAGGGTAGGTAGTAGTGATACTGGTTTAATGAAGACGGTGTCATCACTCAAGCTTCGAATTGAGTTTCTTCATGTGGGGAGTAGTATCTAGTTAGATTTGTGAGTCTGTGGCTTAAAATAGATTTTATAAATCGTATACACTTAATGTTATATATTCACGAAACACAAGAGTATCATACATCCTGAAAAAGAAAAAAAAAGGGGGGAAAGAAATATGCTTGAGGCTGTTCAGCAGAATATCTGAAAATGGGATAATCTTTGAATCTCTAGCAAACAAAACAACTTCCAGCGTGTTTACAATGCCATAAAACATTATCCAATGAAGCAAGTATACCATCAAGCATGAAGTATGACACATGCTTGAAGTATGACACAAATGCTTGAAGTATGAAGTGTGACATAAATAAAATATGAAGTATGACACATTTTGCGGTTTTGCAGCTGAGGATGGTGGTTCGGTAAAACCATTGAAACTAGTCCTGTGAAAATTTTGTAAATAATATGCTGATTTTTGTTGTTTGACTTCTGAATTAATATAAACATGTCATTAGAAGAAATAATGAACCCTTGAATAATACTGTTACATGGGCTACTGATATAGCATCAGCAATACCATTGCTTCTGTGAGAAACATCATGGTTCTTTTAAATGTTGTAAAGGAGTAACTGAGAAAATAAATATTCTCAAAGTGCACAATCGATGCTTTAAATGTTTTAAGAAAAATCAAATTCATGCAATTTATCTGAAAATGAATCTATTGCCATGAGTTTGAAAAAGTAATATTTAGTTTCAAATGTTAATACTAACACTTTGGTTTCTCAGTGTAATATTTCTGTTTCAAAAAATACTTTAATAGAAACATGTATTGGTTTAGTTTGCACTGAAAACGAAACTAAAGTTGTTCGTATCCTTCTTGATCAAGGTAGAGAAAGATCATTTATTAAAGATACCTTAGCGAGATCTTAAAATTAAAACCTATTTGAAATGAAAAATTGTCGTTTTTTTTGTTTGTTTGGAACTAAGAAACCAATAGTTCAGAAATTATCATGTGGTTGAAATAATTGAATTAAGAGACAGAAATCAAAAGAATAAAATAAAAATTGGAATGCCTAGTGACTAACATGATATCAGCTTGTCCCTTAAAGAGTCCCAGACATAACACGCTCAGAAAAATGAAGCACTTAAGTTTACATTCAGCAGATTTAAGTGTAAACAACAATCAAGAATTACAAAACATGGGAATATTAATTGGGATATAGTACTTACAAGCAGGAAATGCATAAATAAACATGTCCAAGCTGTAAATAAATTTGTTATTGTTGTGTTTTAAACTGAGCCTTTCATGGCCTATTACATACAAACAGAACCACCAAGATAGTTACAAGTTTTGGATTAGTAAAAATGCCACATGGCACATCAGCGGGGAATAGCCAGGACTGTTGGATTATAACGTTTAGATAACTAAATCATGCCCACAAGGAAATAAAAGGTAGTCTCTCATTTTGAATTTATTTTTGAACCTTGGATGTATTTCTGTTGCACAGTATTATAAAAATGCCAGCGTTAGAACTAGCAAAAGCTAAAAAAACAACAGTTCGAAAATTAACAACCCAGTTAATTAATCAAATTGATGTTAAATTAAAGTCAGGAGAGCTTGATGAGCAAGATTTGATTATGAGCTCTTAATAGAAAGAAGTAACGAACTGTAAGGCTCTTGACAGTGAAATCGAAACTACCACTGCAGTTGATCAAATTAAAAAAAGAGGTTACAGCGAGTCAGGAATATAAAGCGAAATGTTTGAAATGCTCAAGTAGAATATTACGTTAACTTGAAAGCAAAACTAAGATTGAGTCAGCTTCAAGTGATTCGCATAATCAAAGTACGAATGTCTCTTTAAGTGAAAATTTAAGAAATCAGTGTTCAGTTAAACTGACAAAGTTTGTAATTGAAAAATTTTCCAGAGATCCGAAACATTGGCAAAATTTTTGGAATAGCTTCGATAGTATGATAAATAAAAACAAAAGCATTTCTAAAGTTGAAAAATTTGCGTATCTTAAAACCTTTTTAACTGGTCAAGCTGCCAATGTTGTTTCAGGATTCGAATCATCTAATGATAATTATGACAACTGCGTAAAAAACCCTGAAAGACAGGTTCGGAAAAAGCGATATCATTATAAATTCCTTTATGAATAAAATACTAAATTTGGAAGAAGTTAAAAATTCTTCTAATGTTTCAGCGTTACACAGAATTTATGACGAGCTTGAGATCTCTATTCAAAATTTAGAAGCAATAAATGTTACATCAGTCTCTTTTGGACATTTGCTAATGCCTATTTGCAAAAACACTTGCCCTACAATCTGATTTTAGAATTTAACAGGCAAAGAGATGAAGGCGACATTGACATTTCTAAATTCATTTTATTCTTAAAGAAGGAGGTCGAATGTCGTGAAAGTACTTTATTGGCTTGCAGTGGTTTCAATAAAGAAACAAAATTTTTCGGCATGATTTGGGATCCTAGTCGCGATATAATAAAGATACACATGAAACCAGTTCAGAAGTCAATTGGAAATGGTGAAAACGACTGATATTGAAAACCATCGCCAAAATATTTCACCCTAACGGATATTTGCAACCAT